AATCATGTATCTTTCATAAGCGATCAACTACATTATTTACAACGCTGCGAGAAAAGGATATTTTTACTGTCTTAAAATCATCTGGCAAGAAAGAAACATCAAATGAATAAAATCAGACAGTAATACTGAAGACCACCGTACCTAAAATCAAGAGGAAATTTTTTCATCTCAAGTTACGACCTAGTAGAAAACAGCCTTCGAACAACTGAACAGCAAGAGATTCATAGTCATACTATCTTCTGGGAAACAGACCAATGTGATGCTGAAAAACAAGGAGTTCGATTAAAATTTTGATAACCTATCCAAAGCCTCTAATAAGCATGTTTCACTTAACATCCCATAAAGAAATGGAGCAGTCGAGTGAAGATAACTTACGGTAAACTCTTCAGTATGTGAGAGATAATAAGAATCAACCTTGAATGAAGTGAAATGGATTCATTTTCTCCTAATTTAAACGTCGGCTGAAAGTGCACGAATTAAACATGGTTTTGAAAACAATCGTGTTACGCTCACATACTGAAGAGTATAATAAATAACTCTGCAGAAAACCGAAGTTCCTAAATGGTGACCATCTTTAGTTGGATCCACAGTTGGTGTCTTATAGAATATCAACAAAATTCAAAATAACACGATGATCTGATAGTGTATAATTGCATGTCATAACTTTGCTGAGTTCAAGTTGAACAGATCCACAGAAAAATTTCATAACTTACTTACTGTAAAATTATGTGAACTACACTGTAAACACTAAAATGCAGTACTGAATTTTACGAAAGCCCACATATTTGTCGGTCTTATTGTTGTCAGTTCAGTGATTAGATGAATTAACAAATAACCATAAAACCAATGAAATCATTTCTTTTCGGGTGTCTAAACGGTGTATGATAATAATGCGAATTTACTACAACAAAAAAGGCGATATGTACAGGTTCTACTAAAAAAGATCAAAGACATTGTGTGGCACACTCATATAACAGCAGTTGAGACAGACCGACTAATAAATCGATATAGAACCTTATTCAGAATTGTACCATTTAAACGTCTCAACCTTCATGGCAGTAAAGGAAGAAGTGGATGAAAAAGTATGCAAAGAAAGTTTAAAAAAAAGAAACTGACTCAGCGAATTAACGCATGACCTCATATGGGAAATTACCGTTGTTCACTTGTTGTAGAAACACCTGTGACAATAAATTTATGACCCATTCATATCTTACAGCCATCTACCATCACACGGTGGTCAACTGTGAAGTATATCTGTGCTTTGATCCCCTATCAGATCTCGATGTTACTAAAGATAGTATAGGTTTGTGAATGCTAGGAGCAACGTCTTGTGTATAAGCTGAGATTCCATCCTCAACCAGCTCACCTAAGCTGATACAAATTCTCCTGTAAATGAAGCGACCAACATACTTCGTCAATTCACTCCTAATTTTAGGTCTACAAGTTGGTAAAGATTGTGTTCACAAGATCGTCATGCATTTCACATGTATGAAATGTGTAAATGAATGCAGATCTTGTTCAATGACTTCTGCAGATCCTGATTATTTTTTAATGTTTTTGACTGGCAGAAAGATACCATCTGTGTAGCTTAAGCCAATCAAACGTACAAATAGTAGAAAATTGATTTATTAGAAGGTGGAGATTCATAGAGTGGAAAAGAAACACTTAGCCTTATTTCCAATGAATGGCTATCTAACTAACTTTATTGCAAGATTTCAGTCATAAAAGCAGTTTGTTAGGGTGCAAGCATCCGCAGATTTTGAAAAGTGAATCACTGTGCCATATGTGAAGAGCATGTTTGAAATTATTACCGGGACTTCGAAACCTTTGTTATCAAGTGACTCTTACAAGTTATGCCAAGATGACCGAATGACGCAATGGCATAAAAGTCTAAATCATTATTGTTCATGGAGTAAAATTTATCAATGTCGAGATCTACGTGGACTTGGGATTACGCCATCATCTTTTTATCCCTGAACAGGATTCAGCAGTTTCTTTCTAGACACCAAGTCAATGTGACCAACGAAAGGTTTTCAGGTGGGTAGTAAGATAATGGGGCTTCTGAATTCGCCAGTTGTAATCACCGTCGTCAGGGTAAAGGAATTCTACATTTTTCAGAAAATCTTTGAAGCAATATTCCTGTAGTGCATGGCACTGACAGTGTTATCTCAACAAATTCTGGGGGTTTAGTAGTTAAACTAACAGCTTCAAAACAAGAGCTCACACCAACGCTATCCGCAGGAGTTAAAACGTTCCTACGACTCCCAAATGTACTTCTAGTAGTAGGTAACACGTTATTTAAAACTTTTCATCGAAAATTACTGTCTTAAAGAGCACTTCCTTCAAAGCAACCATGCTGTTGGCCACAAATATCTTTCACCAGTACAATGTGAACAATAAATCGTATAAGGTTTTACAAAGTAAGTCAGTCACTGGTGAAAAACATATGAGTATTCAGGAGACTCGGTATCTTTCCTCGTGACAAGGTCATTCATCTAGAAATGTTGTAAAAAATAAAAGTAGTTTCATGATTCATACTCTTAGTGTATCTAATCTGCATACAGTTAGATCATCTATAGAGATCAGAGTATATTTTTGTATTCTGGAGCCTTATCAAGGTTCACAGATCACGAAGCGTGAAACTGAAGTTATATTCAGTAACTCGATATCAGAATATACGATATTTGATACCAGAGTTTAGAAAAATCATAAGAAATTAGAAGGAATTGACCTTTCACATTTATTTATCAGTATTCATAATTCTTTTAATCATATTATAACTAATTTACTATTTTTGTTATAAAATAGAGAATTCAGAGAATATCTATCTCAAGAGTTTACTGATTAAGTTGTTGTTTTGTATTGATAGCATATTCCTCTATCCACTTTAGCATAGTTCTTTTGTCGTCCCATTTTTACTCTATATTTTTCTATTTGTTTTAGCTTCCTTATTTACCTTATCTTTGTTAGTTTATTTGTTGTTGTTATGGAATATAATGTGGAAGTATGGAAAACAACAAATTGTATTATCTTTCCCTGGTGGCTTATCAATGTCGTATGCATTCTGTTTTCCCTCTACAGACCTTTATATGTGTCTGTTGACGTGATTTTTGTTTACTGTTTCAAATAACGTTAATTATTTTGTGTTATTCACTTACCTTTCTTATCATTATTCGATTTAAGAAACGCTACTCACTACTATTTTATCATCAGCGATACTACTTAGGAAATAAAAAGCAGTATAATTTATCAGATGAATAAGACAATATAAATCAGGAGACAGATAAATAAGAGAGATTTTTGTCTTGCTCCGCCTCAGTTTGTGGACATTCGTGATCAGGTATTCTAGCTGTCGGTCACTGATGAGTAAATATATATATCCTGATAACACAGGAGGGGGGAAAATCCTATTCTCATTTAAGGTAATAATCAGTAAATAAGAGTTATTATTTGCGATTAATACATATGGGCTTTTTGTTTGGTTTGTTTGTTTCCTTTTCAATTATCACTTTTTTATTTTAATATGATAAACAGTTTCTGATTTCAAAAAGAAATAAAACTAGAAGAAAACTAGATTTAAATTGGTAACTAGGTTTTTAGCAGGTGTATCGAAAGTGTGATTGACGTCAGTATTTTATTATGAGGTTAATGGGTATTTTTCTAGAGGTGGGATTTATCATGGACTGACATCATTTGGAGAAACATTGAGAACGCGAGAGAACTGAACAGCTATTTCACCTTTGTATGGGACTCCCCAGCAGTATGCACCCCCTGGGGAGTCCCATACGAAACAGAAGTTCAATGCCCCGAGGTTTCGTTATTTGTTGTTCGTGTATGCCTGAATATTACAAAAGTATTTTGGCCTTTGTTAGTCCATTATATCTCCTTTTTGCTCAATGTAACATAATACATTATTGAATTCAAACTGAGGAAATCAGAAAAATGATCCGATCAAACATGTTATGACTTACACAAATGCAAACTTTGTCTTACGTCAACCTTTTACTCAGCACTTACTGTTTGCCACACTAATCAGTCAAATCCTGATCATATTTCGTATAAATAAATTATTAAACATCAAAGAACGACTGCTTTTCCAGATACTACTTGCAGTTAGTACAGTGAAAAAGAATAATCGCGATACTTTTGCTCTACAAATTCACTTTTGTTAAACAAGACTTACTGATTAAGGTATCTCTTATACATTGTAGGAAGAATAATATTTTATGCTTGCTAAGAATGTCTAGAAGTTGATTTGAACTTCTCGATTTCCACAGTTCCTAACCGTTTTTATGTAGTGAAGACAGTATTTAGATTAAAATCTCACTGGAAATTGATGTCACGAAATCGCAACAGATCATACTGATATATTTGCAAGAGGGGGGTTTGTTCATTCTAAAATACGTTCTGCCGTCTGTCATACACTCAAAAGATTATCCAGTTGGATAATTATCCAACAGGTTCAATAATATCACATAGTCTTTCATAGAACATTTTTTCCAACTTTATTGTAGACGTGAAAAGTGAGATTCGAATCCTATAACAAGTGGTATCTGTTTGTTCCGGCATAATGAAAACGTTGTTTATATATCAGCAGTAAAATATATGTAGTTAGCAGTTAAAATTGGTGATTCATTAACATTATATCTGAGTCATGTTTGAATAGGAGTCATACTATCTCAAAGATTGATACAAGATCCCAATAAAATTAAGGCTACCAAAGCAAACGTCTCGTGCCTGGACTATTTAGTTTTCCACTCATACGAAAACTTCAGAATGTTATTCGTTTTGTAATAGTCTTACATTCTTCGCTGGTATGATTAACTATCTAGTGCTGACCTATTAATCCCTTGGTTTTAAAGCGTAATGGACATGAAAATGACCTTAACGCATTTCATTTTGATAAATGTGTTCCTAATTTTTATTGTCAATAGAAGGTTAAAACATATATACCATTATGTATTTTCAGCATACTTCATAGTGCTATTTATCTTTCATAGATAAAACTAATGCAAGAAGAAGAACTAGCATTGTACAATATATTAGTACCTTTGAACACAGACATCATGAAAAATGAATTGAAGGAATCAGAGAGTTTGTACTATCCTGGAATAATGAAAGTATTGGATAAAGCTAGATTATATAATGCTGTTTACAAATACCAGATTTCAGTTTTAACCGACGAAGAGTATTCAAGGAAATCCGAATTGAATTTTGATAGTAACTTTGTTACGGTAAGCAAAGACAGTTAGTTTAAAAAATTTATTCTATCCTTTTCAGTGATGTACTTATTTATTTGGGTGGGTGTGTTTTCACAAGTACCTATGTAATAAGAAAGTTGTTTACTTTTGATATTTCCTGAACCATTGATAGGTGATTATTGGCATTTCTCTGACATAGGCTACACAAAGTAATCATATCAAGGCAAGTAACACAACTTAGCTAAGAGGAGACCATTTAGATGCTTGTGCACATTCTAATATAAATGGTTACAAACGTTATTGACTTTGGATATTCTGCTATACTATTATTGGCTAAATAACTTGAAAAGTGATTGAACTTGTAGATAGGTTTACAATTCAAAATTGTGTTATTCGTTTACATTTTTTCAATGAAATTCTGTACCCACTACATACTGTGTAGTGATGAAGTGACCGAGTTAATAATTATAAATAAACAAAAGGTGCTAGAGCAGTGAGACGCTTGAACTGCATACGAATAGCTACAGTTCTTCTTCTGTAGCTTATACTTCACTGAGGCGCGGAAATCAGAAGACAGAAACCGGCCTATAACTGTAGAGAAAATACATTATTCAACAAAAATACATTGTTCATGCAAGGTTTTATGAACAAATAGAACCACTAGGTCAAAAGCTGAATATTTATTTTGATTAACCAACTGTAGGATAAATTATCCAGTAGGGTTTTCCAGACAACTGAGCGACATGAAACAAAAATTGAAATATCTTAGTGGCTGATGCTTAAAATGTTGTTTTCTATTTAGGCCACTTCCCGTCAACTGATCAGTGAATATTACGCTGTATTAGTTGGTTACTTGTGAAATAACTTATTATTAAGTAAAATGATAGCCGCATATTTTCACTGAAACGTTTATCTTAAAGCCTACTTAGTAAGCCGCTTGAATACTGCAAGTAAGGTTGTTAACCTTGAGTATTCTCGACTGAGTTCAACTATTCGGTTGATAATTACCAAATGTTTTAACGGATCTAAACTCGCAATGAATTGTCAACAACCAAAAATAAGGTTTTCTGAACTTCGTGGTGAAAATTCTTTTTTATAAGTCAGAGGTTCAGTCGCATCTCCGGCAGTTCATTTGAAACCCTAACCTATAGATGCTACCTAGATGTGACGGTTAGGCTAGCATATCGCAGTCACCAAAACCGCTAAGTCAAAAATATCTGTTGGAGAGAGATGAAATCAACTGTGGTTACCTTCATAACAAAAATCGCTACATTATAATGGGTTTACGATGACAGAGTAATTCTGCTAGCTATAGAGGGTGTGATGGCAGTATGGTGTTTGATATGGGATGATACAAGGGATGAATTCTACCGAAAATTTTTAATTTCGCTACATTAAACAAAACGTCTAGATATCTTGCAGGTGGCTTCAGCTCTCAAGTAGGGAGGCTCGGCCACTGTGAATGGCATTTTGGAACTAGCAACAGTATTCTTTTTCAAAAATCCAACAGCGGTGACCGTCTGTTACAACTATGACCTGGCACCCACTTGGTTCTGGTCAGCACTAACTTTAATTGGTGTTCACCGAAACCGTAACAGCTGTATAAGCAAGTAGGCTTTGCTGACATAATGATATAAACCATCGTTGAAGACGGTCGGTGAATGAAGTACCTGCTTGGACTTCGATGATAGACTGGTATAGTCACAAGAATGTGTCTTGGTAGTTGTAGGGAACGGAATTCAGTCAGACCTCTGTATTTTCGACGGGTACATCAAGTGTCTATTTAGGAAGCAGGTAGCTACATATTGTTCTGAACGTGAGAACAAGTGTTATCCAGATTAGACTTGGCATAGTATTCAGTCAGCTGCAGAAACAGTGGTAAAAACATATAATGACCTACACCACAGTGTTCGCCAAATTCAATGGATTACCACGACCTTATTTAAACTGATTGACTAGAGAGTGCTTATTACAGCTTGGTTTGTGCATGTTAAGGAGCAGAAGAAGTGTAAACGTAAATTGGTTTATAGTCTTCGCACTAATTTTAAGCAATGGTGAATGGCGAGAGCAAAAGAGCTGAAAAATGCATTAGTATCAAGTAATACTCTCTAGTAATTTGGATTAACAATGTAAGGTGAAGGGTACTAGGTAAAGAAGGCAAGTCAGTTGGTGAGGTTGCTAACCTTGACAAAGGTGGAATTGTGTTGCGTATGCCAAGCCACCCCTTGTCTCAACGTGCAGCGTCAGTTGAAGTAGGACTAGTTTGGAAGAAGGTGAACTTTGGGCAGATCAACAAGTGATTTCAATCAGTGAAGCGTTTCATTGCTGGTATGAGCCATGTAGAGAAGTATAATCTGTATGTATGAGGTCTTCAAGAAAATAAGAATCTATGATTGTAAGCCCTTCGTGAGAAGTCTGAAAATCTGTTGAGTTGGCGCGATTGCTTTTATCCTGAAATCATGAAAATTTTGAGCATTTTCACTTACCTCCATTTTAAAATTTCTCTCTTCTCTGCTGCATCTCTGGCAAGTTTGATATCACTCTTTTTTCCAGCCTATCCCTCTTTAACACTACTGTAAAGTGTGACAACATGCACCAATGCACATGCCAAGTGATTCACAATGAGAACCTCAGTTACGCCTTTCAAGTCAAAACAGGAGGAAGACAAGGATGCTTACTGTCACCCAATATCTTCCTGATTGCAATGGACTACATCATGCAGCAAACCGTGAGAAGCTGTGAGAAGATGGACATACGCTGTTCGACCGATGCAAAGACCCTGGAACATCCAGATTTCGTCGATGATTTATGCATGTCTAATGTCACACTAACTCGGAGATCTACAGGCGAAAACTAACAAGTTGACTTAAGAGGGGAGGCCGTTAAGACGTGACTTAAAGTGGACGTAGAGAAGACAGAGGTGATGAATGTGTTCAACCAACAACAGCACCACAAACAAGAGGCAACAGTCACCATGAACCGGAGAATTCCAGAGGAAGTAGTCCGCTTCACCTACCTAGGCAGGGCAGCATCGTTTCAACTACAGGTGGTGGCGGCACTGACGACGATGTCAAAACCAGGATAGGAAAGACAGCAAGACAGGCTCTCAGTAATCTGAAATCAGTGTGGTGATCTACTGCACTCAGCACAAAGTGTGAACAAGATCCGGATTTTCAACACCATCGTCAAGTCAGTGCTTCCATGTGATGGTTCAGAAACTTGCCGCGTCACGGAAAGCATTTCCAACAAACTACAGACATTCATCAACAGCTGTCACCTACGCTCACTCGATACTGAAGATCAGATGGATGGCCAGATTATTAAGCAACAACGAACTCTGGTAACGAACTGACCAACAACGTTTTGTCCAACAAATATGCAGAAGAAAGTGGAGATTGATTGAGCATACACTGAGAAGACCAATCGAGGGGACATCACGCGGCATACCAAGTCGTCGAGTGGAATCGAAAGGGGAAACGTCGAGTTGGGCTTCTGAGGTGAGGGTGACATGGAGGAAGAAGCGGAAGCTTATGGGTTGTGGTGGTGCCAGTTTGAAAAGACTGGAGAGAAGAGAGTGTACTGGAGGTGTGCCAGTGAACTTTTATATTCCACTAGGAATTTAAAGAAAAAATAATAAGAAATTAAATTTTATAACTCAGAGTTCAGTTATGAAATAGGTTCAAATTTTCCCTTAGTCATTGTGAAGTATACAATTTTAGTTAACTATAGTAGAAAATTAATTCTGATTAGTGGTTACCATAGAATAGTTTTATACTGTAGGGTGTTATTTGATCGACCTCAAAATCTGTGAGAATACAAATGACTCACTTTCGAGTTGTAATTCACGATAACGTCTCAGTATACTTATATTTGTATGTCTCCATGACATGATTTGGGCATAATTCGGAAATATCACAAAGAAAACTGGACTATCCCGGGAAATGTCTACAAGATTTTCCATTTATTCACTTAGTACATACCTTTAGACCATTGGCTACCTCTCTGGAGTTTGGTGGACATTTGTTAAGGTAAAGAAATGAAGGTCTTATTAACTAGCTGCATACGTCGAATGTATGTATAATCACCTGTTTATAATGAAATGGGGAATAACATTTCGTGCCTTGTGCTACGAAGACAAAGTAAAGTTGCTTAAACAGTGTTTAGTTGCTAAATTAACCACCATGTTTTACTCAACACACTTATAACTACAGAAATCGGTCACTAGTTAGTAACCGGTGTAACTGTCTAATTCCTAATGTTTACCATCGATAGAAGTTAATTGTTAAGATGCCCTGAACCTAGGTTTTGCGCTTGTTGGCGCCTGTCAGTAAAACATATCTGCGGTCATATGAAAACTGGTGTTACTTAGGTGGTTTAAATTCGCACCGCAAATCGGATGAGCCTAAAGATGGTAGAACGATGCTATTCATGTAATAGCTAACTTTCTGTAGAACTGAATAATGTACACGAATTGGTAATCAATAGGTGACCGATTTTGGTGTCACGGACTGATCACATCCTCTTGATCAAGTTTAGAAATATGATCGCTCGTCAAAGTGATGTGATACTAGATAAGGGTTTCCGTCGACTGATTTCTATCGTTTATAACCAAAAGCAATTTCACTGTAGTGCCGGATCATATAAACTTGGATAGTTTTAAAAACAAACGCAATAAGCAGTTACACTTATCACCCATAAGAAATCAGATGATGTAAGTAAGAAAGTCGTAAATGAAATTTTTCTTCAGACGAATAGTTTCATGGTCAAATCTCAGAATTCGTTTCTGAGTGGAGCAAGTTTGAAAAATGGAGGAAACTGCAGTTTTTTAATAGCTGCAGGTACTTCTTATTGATAGATGCCAACAAGCACGAAGTTAAGCTTTAGAGATTTTCGGCGACTCACCCCCACCAAGTAACACAAAAATAACTTCAAGTCTATTATACTTAGGCAAGTAGATCTTCTATGAAAAGCTAATTAAGTGAATCTTTGGAATAGTCATTTTCTAGATGGTCAGTGACTTCATGTTGGATAAAAGATTATTACTGAATCTATACTTTAGATACACGACGCAATTATCTGAGGCATTGCGTTTTTCTCTTATTGCGTGAAGTGGTTGAACTGTTTGAAGAATATCACGCATTCTTCTACATAGAGTTCACTGATAATAGATGAAAGTATTTAGGCCATTGATTTTCAGATATAAAATCAAATGTTGATACCCTCAGGCATGTCTTATGATCCGATGTGATGTCGTTCTATCAGTTCAGTGTGAAAACGGGAAGTTGTTAGTGCCAATAAGATATCACTTACTGTAGCGTCTGTTGTAAATTACAATAAAGTATGAAATTATCCGTCTTCTATACAAACGCATCATGAGAAAACCTTACATTTTCATTGCTAATATGAGAAAGATTTCTCTTTTCTTTTAAGAATACATTGATTTAAAATCTGTATATGAAAAATCAGAATTGATCGGAATATCATATACTAAAATACAAAGTTTCCTAATAGTTAACACGATAGAAGTACCTTGGACATTTTGAATAATTGCGCACTTTCATCATAAGCACTCACTGAAAAGTAAAGTTTCCTCCTTTTTTTCAGGAGCCGATTAATCTGTGCAGTGATGAACAACTATACGATCAAAATGTACTGTTTGTAGTCAATTCAAAACAAAGCTCAGACAAAGCAATCTATCAAAATCTATTTGAATATGCAATAAAACTATACAATGAAGTTTTGGGTAAGTGAAACGAAATCATAATTTTACACTTGAAATAATTGCTTTTGTTCCAGAATTAATAATACCCTACAACAAAAGCTTACAAGAAATATTAATCAGATTCGAGTTGTTGACTTTCTGCTTGGAGGTTGATCAGATAAAGTGAGACATAGCACTGTGTTGTTCAAATTATTCTGCTTTGTCTATCTAGGAGAGCTATACATCAAGCTTTCAAGATTTTGGATATTTTATTTGACCAAAAATGCACAGTGGAAAATTTCGATATTCTGGGGACCTATTATGGCAAGGATAATAATCCTAACGATGACAAAGAAATTAATATGCAAAGCCCTTGTGCTGGAATAATTCAGAAGTTTGGTGTTACTGGTGTTCTGATTGGCGGACTAGTGATGGGATTATTGAGCAAGTATGTACCAATTTCTATTTGCCTAATACACTCCTTTCTAGACGTCATTTTGCTTCAGAAGACCAGTACTGCAGAAGTCGGATTCTTAGCGCAATTTTATTAAAAGTAAGTTTGGATGTTCATAAATTTCATTTGTGTTATGAGCATCGAGTCAGTTACACATGGCAAATAATAGATTCATTCAATTACAAAGCTATCTTGACTAGGTATATCAAAGATTCATTAATCATGGAAGAAGTTCAAGAGTTTCACTATTATACTTACCAAACTATTTGGTCATAAACTTGTACAAAGTAAACGATTAAATTGCTAGTTATTTAGGCGTCAAAAAGTGACGAATGTTTGTTCAAGTTTTCGACTATCTGAATCAGCCGTGATTTAGCCGACTAGTATTTGTAGTGGGTGATTGTTGAAGGTGAGATGAAAAGTTGAACCGCGGCCGGATTCAAGTCAGGTGCTACCGCGCTTCTGGCCCAATGCTCGACCAACTAAGCTACAAAGTCGGACTGCTGATCAGATAATCAATATGACTCTCCACCTCTCTGATTCATTTAGATTTGGATTGGGATGAGAAGTGCTGACTAAGCAGCCAGTGTGAATACAATCAAGTGGTGGTAACGTGCAATGAATTCACTTGGTACTCGCAAAAACCCTTGGGGATTAAAGTGAAATGAAAATCTGATCAGCAGTGAGATCTCGCAGATAAGTTGGTAGAGCATCAAGATGGGAACCCGGTGGCAGCTGGTTTGAATCTGGCCACGGTCCAAATTTTCATTTCACCTCCAATCATCACCCAGTAACAAATTTTTATTCAACAAAATTTAGACCCTGTCGTAGGTTCAAGTTACACGCAACTGAAGAAAAAACTATTTTTGACGTCATCACAAGCCACACATTTCGTTGAAAGGTTGATATCAATTAAACTATGCTACTGAAATAAAAATGTCTTTATGCTTTCGTGTACAGATTTATAGTTTTGAAAGGGAAATCTCGTGAAATTAGCCGAAGTCAAGTTTAACTTCGAAATGTGTTGTCTCAGGAATTTAAGTCTCACATCTTACATCATTATGTGAATTTTCCGGCTGATGAAAGTGTATTAATTATTTGTCAGAACAAGTTAACAGCTAACTAGATATCTCTGAAAGAAATGAAAACTTGATTGAATATATTATTCATAAAATCTTAAGTTCTGTTTTGTTGTTAAAATTTGCTGAAAATAGAGAAATGTTGGTCTTATTTCATTTTAATATGTTTTAAACCTATAAAAACGTTTATTTGAATACGATAACTGAAAGTGTTTCCTTTACTTGAATGATAAATCTGTATTTCTTTTCTTGGAAAATCTAGTCGATATTACATGCAAGTTTGCCTTGTGCAATATGCAATTTTGACTACTGTTACAAGTATATATCTACTGATTCATTAGAGATCTTAAAGTTGGAGACCGTTTTTAGTGAACATTGTTTGAGTTCAAGTCTTGCCATCAAAGTGATGAATGAAACAATAAATCATCTTATATCTTATGAAAAGTATATTGAAGTGAGTTCATGAAATAATCTTTATTTGCTCTACTTGGTAAAATGTTTAGACTTTCATGATGTATGATAGGTTGGTATGTCCAATGTTTTAGAACTTACGTATGCTTGCACTCCTCTTATATATAACCTTTTTAAAAATGTTCATATCATAATTTCCAAAACTGTACTTGGTCTAGATTGAAGAAACTTGTATTTATTCAATAGCTTTGAAAGGAAGTGGAAAAAGATGGTTTAATTTTATTAAATTCATGTTGATGCTTCCTTATTTTGTGTCACAGTGTTTTATTTTTGAGAAACTTTGATTTATGGCTTGCCTTGATCAGATCCTACAAACAAAAACGTAAACCCTAAAGATCCTGTATTCAAACACTGGAGTTGTCAAGGGTACGCACTGCTGAGGAGTCCCACATTAGGTTGACACAGCTATCCAGAGCTCCTACTTTTTCTGTAGTTCTCCAGCCGATGTCACTTCATAGTGAATATCAACTTTAAGTCAATAACTTCTCACGTGCGTCAAAAGTGAATAAACTTTTATTGTCTCATACACTGATACAAATGTTGTTAGCATCTTCATGACTATATTATTGACATAGGTTTCAACGCGGTGAAGTAATTGAAGTTTTCAAAAAATCATTTGCATTCCTTTTGGTTAATTGCTGAATTTTGAACAGTATGAAAGGTGAGCTGGTGAACAAAAGAAATATTATCACATACGGAGTGGGATATCACCTTTATCGATCATTTCTGTCTTTTATTGTTTCTAATGCTTGCTATTTTGATGCACTTAAGAATCATATTCCTAAGTGGCAACCTTTCAGCTCTTTTGAACTGAAGTTAAATTCTTATGAGGTGAAAATATTTTTTTATGATAAATGATGTAGCCTGCAGATATCTTTTCCGGTTTTGTCAAAAAACAGTAAAGATATAGCTTAAAAAGTATATTTCATGAAAGGAAATTAGAGAACTTGTTTCTTTGGTTCTTTTTTGATGTTTTCTTTCAACTTATATTTTGTTTCTAACTACTGCTATTAGTTGGTGAAAATACACTAAATACTATCCTATTCATAAAACAAGTTCAAGTAAGCGAAATATGTTCTTTCTAACTAATACTACAAAATTGCTTAATTCTAAAATCAAATGAGTAACTTGTGAACCTCACTTGAATTAATACTGGGTGATGAATAAATGTGAAATGAAAATCTGGACCACTATCAGATTCGAACTGGCGACCACTAGGTTTCAGGCCCAACGCCCTAGCGACTGAGCTACGAGTCACTCAACGTGAAAGATAGTGATAAAATGTAGCATACAAATGCAGTAAATACCAGTCGTTCAATATTGTCAGGAAGTTAACAGTTGTATGCCGAAGGTATAAAAAACATTCCTATTCGACGGTTTCATTTGCTAATGCTATACAATCTCAATGAACTGTGCAGTCATTTTATTACCAAAAAGTTTCAATCATTTTTCAATTTCTGAAGGATAAGCCAAAGCATCAAATCAGATAAGTTGTTATATAGTTCGGAGCCACTTACTAATCTCATTATTCGTTTTCTTCATAGCGCACATTATACAGCTGATCATTGTACTTACCTAGAGTTTCGAAACCAAATGAAGTAATATAATTAAACTTTATTTTACTCACTTAAATGATTGGATTTGAGTGGAAATAAAGGTAACATAAAATTCTCCAGTGTTTCGCAGGTGTACTACTATCACCATAACAGAGTCAATGGTTTTCAGACTTATTTTCAAAACAAATGACTTGCATGTGCCTTATTTAATTGCAAAGGCTATCAGAATTTCATGAAGTTATATGTACGTTTTTCATTCAAAGGATAGGAGAACCATTAGATTTTAAGCCCAAATCTTTCATTATATCATGATAAAACTAAAAACAGTAGATATTGTCCTATTCTATCGTCTGGTTGCTCCCCAACGTATATTTCTGAATTAGAATCTTACAACATAACTGTGACTTATATACCCTATTCGGATGAGATACGTGTTCATTATGATTGGAAGATGAGGGCAGCGACTACTGTAACATTTGAAAAAACCCTGCAGATGAACAGAGAAAACGTTCTAACGGCTAAAGATTTTCATTGTACTGAAATAGCTAGTTAGAGCGTGATGAATGGATGTTTATGAAATCTTCTTAAAAGATCTCTATCATTGGAAAAGCCTTCAGATGATAATGAATTTATATAGCTCAAATTCTTGTCTAATTTTTTTTCCTGTGAGACTGATATAGTAAGGTTGTACATTAATTTTTTTTTTTTTTTATACCTTATACTCTCTACACTCGGCACACAAGTTTTCAGCAAGTAAACAGGAAACAAAATAACAAGATTTTGTTAGATAACTTAGAGGCTGATCAGGAAAGTATTCAAAAAATTTAATTGGTAATGGATAAATAATTCATTTTACATGAGATCAGCTTATTTCTAGATAGTTCCTATTATGCATTACATCACCACTTTTTGTCAGTCCCAAAATGAGTCAAATGTTGGAATACTGGTTTACTTATTGATGTGAATATGTTTATCATAGTGTCTCAGTTAACTACATTTAAGTGTCATTTTGTTGAATTAGATCTTCAAAACGCTGTTGACTTCATATTTGCTCCTGTTGAATGGGATCGAAATAAAGTATCTACAATTTGTAAGGCGAATTAAGTTTCATCACTGAAAGTGAAACGATGATTTTTGATGAAAAAACTACTTTATTTTTTATTAGCATAATACATATCGATTTCCAACAATTGGCGATAAATACGAATAATGATACTACTTGAATTTACAGTCATAGCACCTTGAACTTCAAAATTATCTACTTAATTTGACACTGAATTATGCTAGAAATAGAATGCAGTAAATGCTAAATTACACTTCATATCCAAATTATTCTAAGAATTACAAGAAACACAAATATTCTTGCAAAATTAAAAGATATATGGAGAGAACATGCAACGAGGTGCATTTTTGAAGCCTTGATGATATCTGCCAAGTGAAGAATGTGACTTCACGTTTTTTCAGCTACTTTCTGAAGACTCAATGCTGAGTTTCATTCATCGAATTCAGCAATCATATCGTGTATTTAGTTGGTAAACTTTAGTTAATACTGGCGACAAAGTGGTAGGGTTGGTCAATATATTGTTAACTGCCCTCATAGGAAGAATAGATACGAAAAGTTGCATCTTTAGATGTGAAGTCAGAGAACACATATTAGTTTAGCAAACTGTAAAGCTTTAACAATCTTAAGACCAAAATAAATATCTTTTTAAGAACATTTTATATTTTAACTCATAGTTGTTTGCTGACAAAAGCCATAATGTTTTAATACTGCGATATATGCAAAATAATGTTGAAGGAAATGATTGTAATATCTAGTCAATGAGTAACAAATCGGAGTCACTTAATTAAGACAGCTAAGCTGTTTCTTGCACGATATGGCACTGTATTTTACCTTTAAACATTATGCACAATAACCGTAGTATGCGATAAATAATGCTTGTTCGTTTACTTATACCTCCTGCTCTGAAAAATGAAAACCTGATGAAAAGTAAACTCACTTCTAGTTTGTTAAAATATAATTTTCACTTCCTAACATTCAATCGTAAGTAAGTAGGGTTATACCGATGAACAGATACTTTTCTCATTCACATATTTCATTGACCTTTTGCATAATGGGTTTTATTTTAAAGGCATTGCCAGTTATTTACCTATTGAGTTACATCAGCAAAAATCTATCACAAGACCTAAAACTTGAGATAAAATCAAAATTACTACGAATTAAATGTCTCATTGGTGTTGGTGCACTAAAACAAGCATTGATTGAAACATGTGCTATACTACAGGAACAAACTGTTGCAAATTATGCACAGGATTGTGAAATCGCACTGATAAACTTTGATGATGCTAAAACACAAGAAGTGAGTTCAATTTTAAGTTTTCAAGTTTATAAGGTAAGTTGAGATAAAAATATCTAAGTTAAAAAATTGGATTCTTTGTTGTCTGGATTTAATATCAATACATTTCCATAAAAGTTACATTTGAATAAGAAATAGCTCCACTTTATAATCCGCAGGAGACTAATAAGGGACCCTGTGATAGACTACATGCTTAATTTTCTGGCTACTAAACATTTTCCACCCAATATACCTGATCACATTCTTCCCTTTCAATTCGCTTTAATCATTCAAGTATGTATTTTAAACGCATCATGTACTTGTGCAGACTTATAAAACGTTTTCAAATTGCCATTTCCAAGCTAACGGCAAAACGAAGAAAAAGGCGTTACGCTGGTGAGAGATGAGCTTATAAATGCATAGAAATAGAGTACATTACTATTCTTCAGATAGTTATGAAGAACTGCAGATTTTGGTACTGGCTGAATAAACTACCACCAGTGAAATACTGGCTGAATTTCTATTCATTCAGTTATCCAGGCCAGACGTAAGTGTAATACCGGACGCCTGTATCACATTATTATTATCATTTTTCTTTTGGATTCCTAGTGGAATATAAAAGTTCACTAGCACACCTCCAGTACACTCTCTTCTCTCCAGTCTTTTCAAACTGGCACCACCACAACCCATAAGCTTCCGCTTCTTCCTCCCATGGTCTCCTCCATGTCACCCTCACCTCAGACGCCCAACTCGACGTTTCCCCTTTCGATTCCACTCGACGACTTGGTATGCCGCGTGATGTCCCCTCGATTGGTCTTCTCAGTGTATGCTCAATCAATCTCCACTTTCTTCTGCATATTTGTTGGACAAAACGTTGTTGGTCAGTTCGTTACCAGAGTTCGTTGTTGCTTAATAATCTGGCCATCCATCTGATCTTCAGTATCGAGTGAGCGTAGGTGACAGCTGTTGATGAATGTCTGTAGTTTGTTGGAAATGCTTTCCGTGACGCGGCAAGTTTCTGAACCATCACATGGAAGCACTGACTTGACGATGGTGTTGAAAATCCGGATCTTGTTCACACTTTGTGCTGAGTGCAGTAGATCACCACACTGATTTCAGATTACTGAGAGCCTGTCTTGCTGTCTTTCCTATCCTGGTTTTGACATCGTCGTCAGTGCCGCCACCACCTGTAGTTGAAACGATGCTGCCCTGCCTAGGTAGGTGAAGCGGACTACTTCCTCTGGAATTCTCCGGTTCATGGTGACTGTTGCCTCTTGTTTGTGGTGCTGTTGTTGGTTGAACACATTCATCACCTCTGTCTTCTCTACGTCCACTTTAAGTCACGTCTTAACGGCCTCCCCTCTTAAGTCAACTTGTTAGTTTTCGCCTGTAGATCTCCGAGTTAGTGTGACATTAGACATGCATAAATCATCGACGAAATCTGGATGTTCCAGGGTCTTTGCATCGGTCGAACAGCGTATGTCCATCTTCTCACAGCTTCTCACGGTTTGCTGCATGATGTAGTCCATTGCAATCAGGAAGATATTGGGTGACAGTAAGCATCCTTGTCTTCCTCCTGTTTTGACTTCAAAGGAGTAACTGAGCTTCTCATTGTGAATCACTTAGCATGTGGGCTTTTCATATATCTGTTGAATGAGGCTGATAATGATGATTGGCACTCTGTAGTGTTGAAGCAGCTGCCCAGCAAATTACTTATCGGTCGACGCCTCGATAGAAGGCTTTTTCGAAGTCATTGAAATTGAGCTAGAGTTGACTGCAGTTCTGTATTCTGTTCTTTGATTATATGTAGAGTAGGGTAGCAGTTTGATCGGAACATGATTTGTTCTTCCTGAATCCAGCCAGCCTGTTCCGGTCGTAGTTTTAAATCCAGCGCATCCTTAAGTTTCTCCAAAATGATGCGACGTAATATTTTATTTGCTTTGGGTTGACAGAAGCATGATTCTACGCCAGTTCTTGCAAAGACTTATGTCTCCCTTCTTTGGTAGTTTGACAAATCAGTGGGCAGGCACCTACCCTTCCCCACAAACATTCTGCAGTAGTGATATGAGCATGTTCGCTGTTGTCTCTGTGTCTATTTTCAGAATCTCTGCAGGAATCCCATCTAGTCCTGCTGCTTTCCTAGATTTCAGCAGTTTTATGGCACACTGCCTCTAATCACCAAGTCGTTGAATGCACAGAACTGTGTAAACAGTTCTCCATCCTCGTTCATATCACCGAGTGCCTCTCGACACATGATGAATTGGCTCTCTTGCTGTGTTGTCCACTCCCAGTTTGGCATTCATATCACCTATCAGAATGAATTTTGATATCACCAACTTGGGTGGGGTCTTGTTTAGTGCTGATCGCAGGTGCCTGTAGAATTCCTCCTTCTCTTCCTGATCTGCATTATTTGTAGGTGCGTAGTGTAGTATTGTATGATTGTGACTCTCCTTCCTTCTGAGTTGATCCTGATCGTTGAGATTGGTTGCCACTGTATGAGAGCCTTTGATGTTCTTGGAGAAATCATGATAGGCACTCCTTCAGTGTGCTCTTGGTCGTCATGTCGTATGGGTGACTATATCGCAGTAGATTATTGACTATCCAGTTGACAGTTTGGAGAGTCCACTTCCATTTGATCTGCTTTTGCAGTTTCCTTGCACTTCTGTGTCATACCTCTTCATCTCTTTTGCAATCTGGGCAGCCTTGGCAGGTTGATACATGGTGCGTGCATTCCATGTCACCATGTTTACTTTCAATTTCATCGAGAGAAGACATATCGGCCGAGTGGCTTCCCGAAGGCTTTCACCAACCGGCGTCATTTCGTCTCTCCGATTGCAGCGAGGAATAAATTTGCTTTTATTCCTTGTATTTTGTTTGTGCTTTGAAGTTTATTTAGATTTTGGATTGGTTTTATGGGGTAGGGTTACTAGCCGTATGCCCAACCTTCCCTATTTATCTGGGCTTATGACCGGCTAGTAACTAGTGAACTAGTTAAGCAGGCGAGGTTGCCTGTATCACACTGAGGCTTTTATTTCTGTTATTGCTAACATCATTCAAATGCAGTGATCATTTTGCTCATTAATATAGGTGTAAAACGTGGGCACTGTGGTAGAAATTAATCCCATATTATATTTCTTTATTTGATCTATAACACAGTGATCTAGTATTATTTACTTGATGACGTTTCGAGCAAAAATTATTGCTCATAATCATTTCAGTGTAATGACACCACTTCCAACATTTGATTTTTATAGTTACGTCACTACAAAAATCAAGTGTCGAAAGCAGTGTGACTGCACTGAAATGATTATGAGCAACAATTTATGCTCGAAACGTCATCAAGTAAATAATACTAGATCACTGTGTTATAAATCTAATAAACAAATCTAATATGAATCATTTTGCTCAACGAAACTGCATAGGGAGTGAATTTTTTGAACTCTTATATGCTGAAGATTCCATTCTGTATCACAGGCATTGTTTCGAATAATTATTGGAGAAAATGTTTTTCTAGTCAGTCTCACAGTTGGGAAGTGAATTAATAAAATTAAGCCAAGTCTCAGGTAATTTTTTCATATCGAAAATGTATCTATGAAGTTTATTAGACCAATTTTTAAACTTACTTAAACCTCAAAAAAATCAACTTTTCAGGAAAGAAAATAGTCACAAGCACGATAGAACAAGTTAGTTTACACTCATATGCACATAAGCTACATTCATTGATTTCGAAGTGATGATTAGACGTTTTCAAAGTTTATTATTTATCTAATTGAACGGAATGTCTGCAATTTAAATAAGGAGTCCAGCTTCTGTTTGTGATTATTACTGCATATGATGAGTTTAGTTTTAAGTGGTAGGCACTACAGGTTCATTCAGAATGATTTCAAAGTTTACCGTTGAAATATTCAATTTTATCTCCCTATTTCGACAGAACTGGCAGTTTTTTCACCACATGGAGGAGTATAAATGATTATTTCGTTATTTTTTTCAGTTGATCTTTATATCCAATCCTTATCTGGATGCACAGTTTATCTCTGTTGATTGGTTATAGCTTTCATTTAAGCAAAAACACAAACCTACAAAATACTTTAGGTTTTGATAGCTTGGAAAAATTTGCTTACTAGGTAAACCATTTGCATCTTCTGGAATTTTCACGACGATGGGGATTTGTCAGTATGACATCTCAAGTTGATAGATATCACAATTAAAGCTAAGACTCAACAACCTGCACATAGAAGGCATTGTAAAAGTGGTTACTTCTGATGTAACAAGCCTTTCTACTAAAATATCAATCAGTACGGCACTGGAGGCAGCCAAAAATGATTCACAACTTACTCAAAGATGTAAGGTAATCATTGATGAAATCATATTAGCCTTACAGTTATACCTGACCTCCATAGTCCTCAAGTTTCAGGTCAAGATATATCGACCAGCAGAAGGAATAGCAATGGGACCACAGATATCTTCATTCGAAGATATATTAATGGGTGGTTAAGAAATTACGGCTTTATTCTTACACCTGCAATATAGTGGTGATGTGTAGGTGACACATTTACAGTCTTGAAATTGGAATATCTCGACAAATTCCCTACACATTAATTTAATGTTAGACGCGATTCGATGAAAAAGGGGAGTTAGATATGTTGGAATGCAGAGTTAAACGAAAAGCAGACTGTAATTTGGATAATACCGTCTGTAGGAACCGACGTGTTCTAACAGATAATTAGACTTCAAGTCATCTCATACAATGTGAATTAAAGCGGCTTTGATCAATTTTCTAAACAGTTTAGCTAGAAAACTCACTATTCACTGCAGGGACTCAGATAAAGAAGTAAAGCGCATGAGATAAATGTCAATAATTAATAATTATCCTCTATCGTATGTTAAGAGATTCGTACGAACATATAATAAACGAAGTAATAACAGTAATACGAATATGAATAACAGCAACAACACGAGTAGAAGTAAGTTTAAAGCCTCTCTTGTGCCATTGTATAAGGATGGGACATCAACCAATTTACGTA